CCGGCCCCATCCAGCCCAGTCCCTCTGACCGGATCCCACAGAGGGGTGGAGAAGACAGTGGGGGAGAGCCACAGGCAGAGATGGAAGGGGTAGACAGAAAGAGATAGGAATAGAAAGACAAGAGCAGGCAGGGAGCGAGAGAGACAGGGAGAGGTGGGGAGACAGAGACGATGGAGAGACAGAGACCCAGCAACAGAGACAAAACATACACACAGAGATAAACAGAGAGATGTGGAGACAGAGAGGCATAGAGATGTGTCTCGGGTCAAGAGATGACCAGGAGAGTCCCCTGAGACACAGGCCAGGCAGACAGACATACAGTGACGTTTGTCCCTCAGGAGCCCAGAGCTGGTTAGAGAAACATGAATATTTTTCCCTTTTAAAGCAGGGAAGGAAGTGGGAGGGCCACTCGGGTTCAGGGCCTAGAGGGATGGGAGGCCCCCCTGAGAGGTGGGGAAGGGCCTCCAGTAGTGGGAGGGTAGTGGGAGCACTAACAGGGCAGAGAGACAAAGGCAGAAATAGGAGGTGAGGGGGGCCTCTCGGCAGGGGGCAGATAACAGAGCCCCAGTGGCAGGAGCAGAGCTGGGAGGACAGAGGAGGCCACTTGTGGCAGTCCCTCCCCACCCCCACCCCTCCCCCACCAGGGTGCAGGGGCAGGAACCGGGCCTGAAAGGGGCAGGGAAACTCACCTCTGTGGGGTTCGTGCACGACTTCAGGAGTCCCTAAACACCCCCCCCAAAAAAAACAACCCCAAAACAGTAAATGAATCACATCTACTCCCCTCTGGCCCCTTCCCTTTTCAATAAAGCCCCAGGGCTGCAAGACAACCGGAAGCCCCACTCCTGGGTGGATTGCCCACCTAGCCTCGCGGATCAGGGCTGAACCACCAGGTCCAGAGGGCGAAGAGCATGGGCCCTTAAGAGCCAGGAAACGGCAGCTAGACGGCCGAGCCTGACTCCCAGCTCCGCCCCTCCGAGCTGTGTGACGCTGGGCAGGCGATGAAACCTCTCTGACTTCCTTTTCCTTATTTGGAAAATGAGGACCATAGCACCTACTTCATAGGATTTGGTGAAGACCGTGTGTGCAAATCATTTAAAGCACTTGCACCAGCTCCTAGGCAGGAAACGCCCACAGACAGGTTAACTACTGCTATTCTTTGGGGGAGGCCGGGGCGTCTCTCCCACCTACCTGGATTTTGCGGCTTCTCTCCTCTTCACTCTCGAGTTCCAACAGTTCATCAATGTTCACCTCGTCAGGCATGTCTGCCTCCTAGGGCCAGGGGCGGAGGCTGGTCAGGGCCCCTTCCCCGCCCTCCCTTGCCTTTGTCCAAGGTTCTGGAGGGGCCCACAGGCCCCAGGGCCCAGCTGGCGGGTTCTGGAGCAGTGATGTGGCAGTCAGGGACAGCACCGCCAAGGCAGGCCAGCTGGGATGTCAGGGGAGGGGTGACAGATGGGGTGATGGAGGCCCGGGGCCCGGTACCAGTGTGATGACTGGGCCTGTGGGCCAGGGAACCTCGAGGCTGGCACGGGTCTCTCCTCTTGGCCCCAGTTCCCACAGCGGAAAACAGGCCTGATCGAGTCTTGGAATGTTAGATTCTGGGATTCAGAAGAGGGGCTGGCTTCTGCCCTTTCAAGGAAAAGTCTTAGCACTAGATGCGGGGGAGGGGAGCAGCAGGCTGGAGCCTGCTGGGGCGGGCCCCTTCCCCCAGGGGACAAGAAAGGAGGGCAGGGCTTCTGGCCAAAGTGCAACCCAGAGTGTCTGGAGGTGACCACACCAGGCCACCGCCCAGGGAGGTGGGTGGGATGAGCCATGAGGGCAACTTTGAGTGGTCAAGGGGGGAGACTCGGATGGCCTCTGTGGCAGCGGCCCACAGAGGCTGGCC